TTTCACTCTTCTTCTTGAGAAATTTCAAGATACCACTGTTGGTCGTTTTGATGTAACTTAGGATTTAATTTTCGGCCTATTTCCTCTTCTGTCTGCTTGTCCCGCTCCACAATCCCTGTTCAGTTCTTTTTTCTAGTTGCAAACAGTTCAGGGCCGGCTGTGGCCGTTTGGTTTTAATTGGAAACTGTCTCTTTAAATTTCAAGGAGATCTGTGTACATGCGTAGTAGAACCCTCCGAGGGTGGGGCTGGGGTACCCACTAGCTCAGGCACCCCTATAGTCGCCAGAATGGAGATGCACAGACAACAAAGGACCAATGAACAGCTACCAAAAGAAAAGAATGCGCACACCTTGATCTCCACGGTTCTGCCAGGCGTCTGTGGTGGCTCCGATCTTTCCCCGGCTTGGTCTCACCCAGGATGGTGGGTGCTGGAGCAGCTGAGCGTCCTGGACTAGAAAGCAATGGATTTGTTGCTTCTGCCACAAATTCCCCCAGCTGTGAACCTTCCAACCTTGTAAATATTCCTTTATATGTGGTTCAGAGTTCTGGGACCAGCCCCTGAGCCTGCTTGGTCGTGTATTCTGTGTTGTGTTGGCGGAGCTCTTTACTACACATCCACTCGATCCGCCATCTTGTTTATTCTCTAGCCGACTAATTTTTAGGTTGGTGATTTTGTTTGGCCCACAAATGATGTTATAAATTTTGGCATAAAAAAAGGTTCTCCATCCCTGCTATGTAGGATTTCCAAGGAACAGCTGGTGGGAGAAAGTATATTTGTAAGTATATTTGTAAGCAAATAGAAATTATTGATACAGGACTGAAAGAGGCATGACAAGTAATAGAATAAGAAAACTGCCAGGCCAACAACATGCAAAGATGCTCACTCTGTCAGCCACAGTAATATTTAAAGTCGTGTGCATTAAAAAGAGCAGTGAAAATTAAGGACTTAACAAAAGCAGGGTTTTATATATTCTGTTTTGTTCTATATATATTCTTGCTGTTCTTCACTCGATATTGTTGGCTATTTTCATACATTGCTTGTATTATAATTTTAATTTCTGCATAGTATTTTATTGTGTAAATGTCATGCATGTTGTTGTTGTTGTTAAGTGCCGTTGAGTCGATTCCGACCCATAGCGACCCTGTACAGGGTTTCCGAGGGTGTAAATCTTTACGGGAGTAGAAAGCCTCATCTTTCTCCCACGGAGCGGCTGGTAGTTTCGAACCACTGGCCTTAAGGTTCGCAGCCCGATTCATAACCACTATGCTACCAGAGCTCCTTAAATGTCATGTATATATGTTATTAATTTTGTCTTTTTCATTTTTGTTTCACTTGCCTATAAGTATTAGAAATGAAATTTTTAAAAATTAAGCAGGCTAACAAAATCAGTATGCAGGCTTTTTTTTCCTGAAGTTCCCTTTAATCAAACTAAGTTTTTAGTTGTTTCAAAAATAATATTGTATCTTAGATGAAAGTTTACACAGAAAATTAGGTTCCCATTTCACAGTTTTTGTATAAATTGTTCTATGACATTGGTTTACAATTTCACAATGTCTCAGCAGTCTCATGATGTACATTCTGTCCTTTTTCTATTGACCTAGCTTTTCTGTCCCTCCTTGCCTTTTCATCATTGTTTTAGGATAAATATTAACCATTTGGTGTCATGATTAAGGAAGCACATCGCTCATGGGTGATGTTGTTCATTTCATAAATTAATCTATAGGCAGCTCCTAAATTATGAGCGAGTTCCATTCCTAAATCTGTCTTTAAGTCAAATTTGTACATAAGTTGGGACAGTTAGTTATGGTTCGTATCTAACGTTAGTTAGTCACATGTTTATCTTGGTATATAGTGCACCTTTTTTATGCAGAAAAATATTAAGGAAACACATCCAAATACATTAAAACACCTTTAACATAATAATATTTTGATGTGTGTTGCAAAGTAGCACCATTTTATTATTCAGAACCATTTGTGTGTACCTCCAATTTTTGCTTTTACAGGATTGTACATAAGTTGGTGGTTCTTAACCTGGGGACTACCTTCATTTAGCTGAAAGTTGACCTTCAGAAATAGCTTCATTTCCAAGTTCAAAGGGTTTCCCAGGGTGATAGTCCTGGGGTTACTTTAGTTTCTACTGGTCCAGTAGGAACTTTTTTTAGGAATTTGAATTTTATTCTACATTATTCTCCCATTCTGTCTGAGACCTTGTATTGTGTCCTTGGTCTGAACAGTTGGTTGATAGCAGTAGCCGGGTGCTATCTTGTTCTTTCAGTCTCAAGTTATAAGAGACTGAGATTCATGTGGGATATTAGTCCTGTGGACTAGAGTTTTCTTTGAGCCTTTGATTTCCTTCTTCTACTTTTGTTCCATACAAGTAGAGACCAATAGTTGTATCTTAAATGGCCACATGCTTTTGAAACCCCAGATGCTACTCACCAAACTGTGTTGTGCCAGTTGACTAAGTTGTCCCCTAATCTAGTAAACCAATTGCAACACTTGTTTGGCTGTGTCTCGGAAGCCTTCTATCTGCACCTATTGTGTGCTTCATTGTATGTAAGGGGACTTCAAAAATTCCATTCTTTTTTCATTTAATTTTTCTGTGAACTTTTTGAAACCCCCTGGTATGTAGATAATATAATAAAACTGATTTTTGAAAGAAAAGAGCTATACAGATTTTTCATTTTTTCCCCTAAGTTTCAAATGTCTTATGAATTATTTTATAATGTAATCGCTATGAGTTGGGCTGCTAACTTTAAGGTCAGCAGTTTGAAACTACCAGCTGTTCTGCGGGAGAAAGATAAGACTTCTTGCTCCCATAAAGATTTACGGACTCAGAAACCCTGTACTAGGTCACTATGAGTCAGAACCGACTCCTTGGCACTTAACCACCACCACCTAAGTAGAATTGTAAATAGACTTAACTCTTGCTAAATCAGCACAATTTTGTATTAGGTATGCTAACAGTAAAATCCTTCAACATACAAATTTATTTGTTTTTCCCAGGTGAATGTTTAAGATGCATGTTCTGGAATAATCTTGGTTGCATCCATTTTGCAATGAGCAAGCACAATTTGGGGATTTTCTACTTTAAAAAAGCTCTGCAGGAGAATGACAATGTCTGTGCCCAGCTCAGTGCAGGGAGCACAGATCCAAGTAAGTGCAGTGCTGAGAAAGAGTGAACTTACATGCAAAGTAACTGCTGTTTGTGCCTACATACAATTCACACTGTTAGGCAAAACAAAATTCTATGATAGCTCCTTTTTAGGGTTTCACACATCGTGCTGTTGGTTAGTACTGACAGTCTTTAAGCAAATTCTTGAAATTTGCTCCTTTAATATTTATTTTATATGGATTTTTGATCTGAGATACTTAAGATAATTATTTAGCTATTTATAGTGTAAATAATTTTAATTGGTGAAAAATACGTCCCAAATCATAAGCAGTCTTATTTTACTTTTAAATACTATCATTATTATCTGATAGCCTCCACAAAAATGTGGACCGGGTGGTACTAGAAGTGAGAGTGGGCCCCAGCTCTAGTGTTTGCCTTTCTGGAGCATTATTGCTAATAAGAAGAGACCATCTCTGGCTCTGCCAGTGCTAGCAGCTATGCTCTGGAGACAGTTTGTGGGTTGGGATTGAAGACCGTGGGTATGATCTATTATAGTTTAATATCAGTTTATTGGTAGTAGAGAAGGTAGCTTCTAAGTCCTTAGTGGAATAAATGTTTCACTGTGATTTACTGTAAATCTTAGGATATTTTATCATCTAATTTTTATCACTAGGCAAGAAATTTTCAGGAAGACCTATGTGTACACTACTAACCAATAAGAGGTATGAGTTACTGTATAACTGTGGAATTCAGCTTCTTCACATTGGAAGGCCTCTGGCTGCCTTTGAGTGTCTGATTGAAGCTGTGCAGGTTTATCATGCAAATCCTCGCCTCTGGCTAAGACTGGCTGAATGCTGCATTGCTGCCAATAAGGGGGTAAGTGCCACTTGAGTATCTTTTTGACCCTCCACCACTTCCCATTCATTACATGGAAAGCAAAGGGGACCTCATCCCCTTTTTAATCCCATGTGAATTTATAGATAGTCTTCTGTTCTTTAATATTTGGGACAAAAAATTTACCTTCATAGTCAGTCGTTAACATGTAGGTTCTTGATAAATATGGCATCACGTACCAGCAGTTACATTAAAGAGTTGAAGCTAGTGAGAAGGTCAGATCTTTTGGAACAAGTGATCTGTTAGCTACTGGATATGAAATGCCTTTTGAATCTCAAGTGGAGGGGTCAGCTGGAAGGTCCGGAAACTCAGGTTATATCATTTCCTACCCACTCACCCTTTGTGATACTCTTTGGTGTGCAGGACTTGGGGAAGTATGGTATGCTGAGGTTTCACTCTGGCATACCTGCTAGAGATGATAGAAAATGTAGACTTTCTTTCTGTTGCTGACTATACTTCCTGAGAAGCAACTATATATAATAAACCTGAGAAAACTGGAACCTGTGTGAGATGGAATCCATCAGAGAAGTAAAATACAAATTACAGTGAAACCTGTGAGAGACAATTTGCTGAGACTGCCTTGTTTTTCTTTCAAGTTTCTGTCTTTGGCAGGGTGCAGTCTTACCATATTTCTTTCCCTCTTTATTAGTGGGAAATATTTGAGTTTGCTTCTCTAAGAAGTTTCTGCCTTACACAGCTTCCAGCTTTACTCTCTTTTCCATTAATAGCTATAGAAAAGTGGTAAGACTAATGCTGTCAAAAACAGAAAGCTTTCAGGACCTGGACATACAATACAAGGCAGTCCGTAAAGTTCTGGCTCTCACAGGTTTCGCTGTAACAAGCATTAAAAGAATTGAAGAGGTACTTCCGTCAGCCATCTTTGAAAGTCTTTAATGGTTTATTAGTTGTACTTTGCTTTCTAAAAGAAACATTTCAAATCAAGTACTTTTAAAAATTTTCAGCAGAATTGTACTTTTTTTAAAAAAAGAAACTCTAGAAATTGCTTATTCCTTTTAATCCATTTACATATTTAAATGTTGGGGCCTTTAATTTAGACAGTTACTTCTTACTGGAGTAGACAAATTTATTTTTAAAAAGAGAAAAAATGAACCCACTGCTGTCGAGTCAATTCTTAGTCCTAGTGGCCCTGTAAGACTAATAGAACTGTTCCATACAGTTTCCAAGGCAGTGTCATCTTCACAAAAGCAGACTGCCAAATCATTTTCCCGTAGAGCAGCTGGCTTTGGACTGCCAACTTACCAGCAGTCAAACACTTTAACTACTACAAGAAATATATTGTTGTTAGTGCCATCAAGTCAGTTCCGACTCATAAAAACCTCACAATAAGAGTTTCTGAGGAGTGTCTGATGGGTTTGAACCTCTGCAGTTAGCAGTTCAGTGTTTATCCTACAGGTCCAAGAAAAAAATATACAATAAAGTTGAATATATTCTCTTTTAATTATTTACATTGCTTGAATTTATATGGGTTTTTCCCCAATTTTCTTCTGTTCTTAAGCATCATCGAATTATTTCTGACTCATAGCAACCCTGTGTAGGGTTTTCTAGGAGTGACTGGTAGGTTTGAACCATTGACCTATGGATAACAGTCCAGTGCTTATCTCATCGCACTACAAAGTACTAAATATGTAAATTTGAAAAAAAGCAATAAAGATGAGTTTGTTTTCTCATGATTTTTTGTTGTTTTGTTTTAAGTTTTACTGTGAATTGAGTGAAAGTACACAGTGCAGATCATCAGTTTTACGTTGAATAAATCATACACCTTGTTTTATTACAATGATTATAATTTACTCCATGTACCATCAGATACTAGTATTTCTCTCTATTCACTTTAGCACTCTCTCTCTCTCTCTTTTTTTTTTTTAAAACACTCAGGCATATATAATAATTTACACCACCAAAGGGCACATTCTGCAAGTCTGCTTCCAGGCTACCAGCTCATAGTCCCTTCCCATGAATCTAGAGTGCTCAGCTGCTCCCTCTCTCCATATCCCCATCTCTGGTGTCACTGCTTCTCTGGATAAGGTCTTATATTCCCCTTATGCTCTTCTCCCTTGATGGTTTTCGGGTCCTTTGTTTCTGCACTGTAAGATTAACTACTCCCCCATTTTTGATACAAAACTTCAACCTTTACAATTGTGACAGTTGCAATTAGTCATGATAACATTACTCATTATTGAATCATAAGAATCTTATCCCCATCTCTTTTAACCAGACCCATCTAGACAAGATGAAAACTAGTCAGTGGGGATTCTTTCTTTCCCCTCATACACTTAAGCTAAACTCCCTCTTGAAATTTTTTAAGGCAGTCATTTCATGCCTGTATCACCCCCTCATTTTAGGTAGCTAATGTCTAAGGTGCTCTGGTAGCGTAGTGGTTATGAATAGGGCTGTGA